CGGTGTTCCAAAAGTAAAAGGCAAAATTCCTCAGCCATAAGAAGAGATGAAATACTGCCATTTGTGACAACATGGACAGACCTCGAGATATTCATACTAAGTGAAATAAGCCAGACAGAAAAAGTTGAAAATCACATGATATCACTTATATGTGGGATGTAAACCTAAAAGCAACAAATGAACAGGACAAACAAACTGAGACTCATTGACATGGACTATAGATTAGTGGTTACCAGAGAGTAGGGGATGGGGGAGGAGAGGAGAGGTAGACAGGGTAAAGGGGGTCAAATATAGGGGAGAAGGAGGAGAGTGAAGTGGGTAAAGGGGATCAAATATATGTTAGCTGAAGGAAACTGGACTTTGGGTGGTAAATACACAATAGAATATACAGATATCAAATTATAATGTACACCTGAAAATTATATAATTGTATTAACCAATGTTACCCCAATAAACTTAATTTTTTAAAAAAGGCTTTTCACGATCATATTAAAAATATATATATATATGTTTTCCCTAAAATCTTTGGAGCAGATATGTTATGGGAGAACAGATGTCTTCTGCCTAAATAAAATACATTCAAATCAAAAAAAAAAGAAAGAAAGAAAGAAAGAACAGAGTCTGCAAATCCAGTTAAGGCACATCTGGTTGTAAAATAAAGAAACAGCAAAATCAACAGCATTAATGCATGTGAAAGACAACGTGTTAACCACACGCAGTGGTCAACACAAAGTCTAGAACATGGGGTGCTGCCCAGAAGCACATCCTGGCCACTCAGTGGGAGCAGCTCAGTCCTTCCACAGGGCTGACCCGTCAGAGGTTCTAGTGAAATTTTCTGTCAATGCCCCACCCCCAAGGGGCACACCAACCTGAATACAATCTGATTTCTTGTGAGAACTGCCCTATACTGGGAGACAATGGGTTGACCTGCTAGAAGGAACATCTGATCCCTCAGGCAGTCACAATTCTCTCCATTAATTCATACGTTTACATTGTGGCATCTCTAGCAGTTTCTTCTGGGTTAGTTTAGTCTGAGTCAGTCCTTCGAATTTTATCCGAAGTCTGGGGTTCTACAAAGGTGAGGTGTGGCCCTGGTCAGGGTGAACTCATTGAGTCAGTCCTACCTCAGAAGCCAGTCTGCCTTGATGACTTCCTGGCATTTCATTCCTCTCTGCTTCCAGCAGTCATCAGCCACCTCCTCATATGCAAAAACAGTTATAGTAACTAATAATCATTTGAACTCCTTTTTTTTATTTGACATACATAAGGATTACCTTCTGATGCCTATTTTTCTTGGGAATTTTTTTTATTCTTCATATTTTCATTCTTGAAAAAGATTGGGTTTAGATCTCATTTCATTTCATTTTGCTTGCTTTTGTGTGTTTTTGATGTTTGCAACATAAAAAAACAGGCAACATAGGTCAGATTTGGAGAAATTAACATTTTAAGTTAGGTTTGTTTTTAAGCCATACTATCCTAAGAATAAAAGGACAGCAACGCTGAATTTAGCATTTCAAATAAAGTTTCAAACTTACATTGGAAGTCATTTCCAAGGTTGGAGTTGGAAGCCGAGGTTGAGGTACTGGTTTTTTTTGGAGAAAGAGCAGAGGTTTCTTTGGTTCAAGAACCTTATTCTTCTTATCCAACAGTGCCTGAAATAACAACTCCTGTTATTTCTCACCTTTGTATTTTCTTCCACTACCAGATCTACACCAGAGATTTCTGTATATCGATCAGAAATAATCTTGGTGGTGGTGCTAGGACAGCTTGATAAAGTCCAAACCAGGGTGCTTGTATCTCCCAAGGGATGCTATGATATTCCTAAGGATAAGTTAACCACCAAATAAACATGCACATATTCTAGGTATATTCATTTTAATAAAAGATTTTGGGGATTTATTTATTTTAGTTTAGTTTTAGTTTTTAAAAGGTGTGTCATGTGTGTATACAAACAAAAAACCCCAACTCTTATTCTTCCATGTGTGCTAATTTGCCGTTTTACAATATAAAATTTTTCTCTGTGTTAAGTGACTGAAATGTTTGGTATGTTTTGTTTTTATGGGGAACTTTATATGGCAATTGTCTTGAAGTGAAGAGAGAGCTTTAGCCTTGAAGGCCTGCATGTCAAGATTTTTGAAAATGAATTGTTTCTCTGTGAAAGAGTATGCGTGTGCTTCTGTTTCAATATACATTTTATTTCTTTTGCTACTTCTGATCACCAAAAGTCCTGCCAAAATTATACATAACATAAGGTTTTATTAAATCTTTAGCTCCATTTTCAGCCATAGGGGGGATACTTTAACTTAAGGTTTACAAGTATCAAAAATTCTGATCTCTGTGATTTTAAAATCATATTTTACTTTTTCATCATGTTATAATTTTTATATTATTTTTCCCAAACACAAAAAATAGATAAATGATAAAACAATGAGCTCTAAGCCAAAAGTAAAATTAATAACAATATGTAAATTTGGAACCACATGAAATTATTGTGGTTGTCACAGAGCCTCTGAGTTTCTTCCAAATAAAGCTGAAAGCAAATATATAACAGCTCTATGATAACCACAACTAACGAATCAATAGAAAGCAACAATGTGAAAGTAAGAATTCTAAAGTTGGACATTTCGTGAGTAAAATGCCCTGAGCAATATCACATGAAACTATTTTAAAAACAATCATTCGTTAACAAATTATGTTGGTAAGGATGTGGGAAAACAGGCACTCTCACACACTGCAGAAATTAGTACATCATTTCTGCAAGAAAATTTAGCAATATCCATCAAAATAATAAATGTGTGTATGTTATAGGCCAGCAATTCTATGTCTAGGAATTTAATTCTAGATATGTTCACACATGTATCAAATTAATTGCAAACACTTTACTCATTGCAACATTGTCTTTAATACTAAAAAGTTTGCAATAATAGAAATATCCATCAAAAGGGGACTGGTTAAATATATTATGAAACATTTATACAGTGATATATCATGCAAAAAACAATAAAAAAGTTTTTCTGATAACACTGATATGAAATGATCTCCAAAACATATTATGTAAGAAGGGCACAGGTAGAACAACATGTATTATGTACTAATATTTATGTAAAAAAGAATTTAAAAAGATATTTATATGTATTTATACATATTTATTTAAATATATTTATAAATATACACTCATGCATACATATTTACACATACACATATATTTGCTTATATTAAATATCTCTGGAAGGACAGATGTGAAAACTAAAAACACATTGCCTACAAAGAAGGATATGCACAGGTGGGAGGCAGGAATAAAAGGGAAACATTTCGTCTAACACTCTTGTATAACTTATGAATTTTGAACTATCTGGGTATATTTTTCAGTTGATAAAAAATGATAAATACAAGAAAAAAGAAAGAAAAATGCAAACTTTGAAGAAAAATCATTAGATTTTCACAATGAAAAGAACAATGTTAAGTCAAGAATCCAATAAAAAGTATAATAAAACCATAAATATTTGAGAATTTCTTCAATATGTCTCACAGTTGCTATCAAAGGGAAAGCTTGGGGCAGGAGGGAAGTATGAATGAATATGAGAATATTAGGGAAATGCTCTCATGAAACGATAAGAGCATTTCCCTAATAATCAGTGCAATTCAAACTACTACTTCGAACTGATAGACTCCATATAATGGCATCTCATCCCAAAACCAAGAGAGGAGATAAAAACAAGGACGATAAAAGAATGTGAATCTTCTGATACCATTAGCTACAACAAACATTATATACAGCCCAGCTGCTAGCCAGATTAATATAAACTCCACACTACGGCCTATTTATCTTAGTTCCTATTACCTGATAATAGATGTCAAGCTATCAACAAAAATATTAAAAGGCATTCCAAAAGGCAAGAAAAACAGAGACTGAAGAGACAATCAATCATCAGAATCAGATTCAGATATGACAGAATTATTTGAAATTATTAGACAGAAATTTAAAATAATTATAATTAATATGTTAAGGGCATTAATGGAAAAGGTAGACAATGTGCAAGAATGAAGAGTAATGAAAACAAAGAAATCTGAGAATCAAAAGGAAAGTCTAGAAATCAAAACAGTAACAGAAATGAGGAATGCCTTCAATGGGCTCATCAGTACACTCAACACACCCAAGGAAAGAATCTAGAAACTTCAAGACAGGTTACTAAAACTTCCCAAACTGAAATGCAAAGAAGAAGAATTAAAAAAAACAAAAAAAACAAAACAAAACAAAAAAAACCCAGAAAAACAGAAACAGAACAAAACCTCCAAGAACTATGAGAGACTATTAAAAGGTGGAACATGTTTTACTGAAATACCAGAGAAGACAGAATGTAGAAGAAATATTTGAAGTACTAATGGTTGAAACTTTCCAAAATTAATCACAAACACCAAACCACAGATCCAGAAAACTTAGAGAAAATCAAAGATACATACCTAAAAAAAAAAATTAAAAACATATGTCAGGCACATAATATTTAAATTGAAGAAAACCAAAGAAAAAAAGAAAATTTTGAAAGAAGTCAGAGGAGAAACACATCTTATCTAGTGAGGAGCAAAGATAAGAATTACAGCAAAGTTCTAGTGAGAATCCGTTTATGCAAGCAGAGAATGGACTGAAACTTTCGAAGTGTTGAAAGAAAAAAAAAACCCACCAACTAGAATTCTACACCTAGTAAAATCATTATTCAAAAGTGAAAAGATCGAAATTACAAACTTTTGTGTTTCAAAAGATACTATTCAAGAAAGTAAAAAAAAGTCCCACAGAGTGGGAGAAAAATTTGCAAACCATATATCTGATAAAGGTCTAGTCTCCAGATTATATACAGAACTCTTACAGCTCAACAATAGACATTAAAAATAATGTCTATAATAAATAATAAAAAGACAACCTAATTTAAAATGAGCAAAAGATCTGAATAGGCATTTCTCCAAAAAAATATATACAAATGACCAACAAGTACATAAAAAGATGCTAAAACTTATTAATCATTAGACAAATGCAAATCAAAACCATAATGATATACTGCCTAACACACACCAGGATGGCAATAATAAAAAAGATAGATGAGAACAAATGATGGCAAAGATGTGGAGAAATTAGAACCCTCATACATTGCTAGTGGGAATGTAAAATAATGTAGCCACTTTTGAAACAATCTGGCAGATCCTCAAAAGTAAACATAGAGTTACCATGTAATCTAGCAATTCCACTCCTACATATAAACTCAAGAGAACTGAAAAATACATGTCCACACAAAAGTATGTATATGAATGTGCATAGCAGCATTATTATTATTTTTAAAAATTTTTTCCTTTTTATGCCTACAGCACCTGGTATTCCTTGGTGGTCTCCCATCCAAGCACTAACCAGGCCCGACCCTGCTTAGCTTCTGAGATCAGATGAGATCAGGGTGGCATGGCTGTAGACAGCAGCATTATTTATAATAGACAAAAAGTAGGAACAACTCAAATTTCCATCAACTGGTAAATAGATAAACAAAATGTGGTATATCCGTGTGATGGAATATTATGCATCCTTAAAAAATAATGAAGTACTGAGACATGCTAGAACATGGATGAACTCTGAAAACATCAAGCTAAGTGAAAGAAGGAAGACAGAAAAGGCCATATATTGTATGATTCCATTTATGTATAATGTCCAAAATAGGCAAATTCATAAAAAGAAAGTAGATTAGTGCTTTCCACGGGCTAGGGGCAAGAGAGTAATCTGGAATGAGTTCTAATGGGTATGAAGTTTCTTTGGGGGATGATGAGAATGCTCTTGAATTAGATAGTGGTGATGGTTGAACAATTTTGTGAGTATACTAAAAGCAACTGAATTGTATACTTTAAAAGAGTGAATTTCATGGTATGTAAATTATATCTTAAAAAAAAAGTAAAAGGGAAATAAAGACTTCCTGAGACAAACAAAAAATGGAGTTCATTGCCAGCAGAACTGTCCTATAATATATAGTAAAACAAGTTCTTTAGGCAGAAAAAAAATCACATAAGTCAGAAACTTGGATCTATTATATAAAGAAAGAAAGAGTGGTAGAGAAAGAATAAATGAGGTAAGATAAAATATTATTCTTATTTTTAATTGATCTAAAAGATAACTGTTAAAGCAATAATAGCAAAAATGTATTGGGTGATTCTAGCATATGGATCAGTAAAATGAATGACAGCAATGTCACAGGAACAGTACGTTATAATAATGTTATAAGGTTCCCGTGATACATATGAAGTTATAATATTATTTGAAGAGGGACCTAGATTATTAAATGTAAAATCATATACTAGTTCACAAAGCAAGCCTCACTAAATTTTAAAGAATAATATCATACAGACTAGGATTGACCATAGAGCAATTGATTTAGAAGCTAATTAGAAAATAAGTTAAAATTAGTGCATATTTGGAAATTTAAAAACACAGTTAAATACTCACAGGTTCGAAAACCATAATGGACATTTTTAAAAATTAGATATTAACAGTAATGATAAATACCATATATCTAAGTTAACAGAATGTACCAAAGTCAGTATTTTGAAGGTTAGCTGTAAATACTTATTTTTCAGTATTAAGAAAATTAATGAGCTATATATCTACTTTAAGTAGGAAAAGAACTATAAAACAAACCTCCCAAAAGTAAAAGGAAAGATATAATAAATATGAGTGAGAATGAATGCAACTGAAAATATATCTATAATAGAGAAAATCAACAAAGTCAAAAGTCCATTGTTTGGAAAAACAATACCAAGAAAACAAATGAGCAACCGGTAAAACTGATTAAAGCATTAAAGCACACATAAATATCATGAATGAAAAGAGCATGCATGATTATAGATAAAACAAATGCTAAAAAATCATCATATTGTCAACAACATATGCCAAAACGTTTGAAGTTAGGTAAAGTGGAATTTGCAAAGACAATATAATTTACCAAACCAATATAGAAAGTTCTATAAGTTGTAAGGAAATTGAAGGAGTGGTTGGTTAAAATTTTTCCCATGAAGAAAACTGAATCAGTGTCAGATAATTTTATGTGAATATTCTACCAGTCTGAAAAAAATAGATCATCTCGAACTTATTTCAACTCTTTTCTAAAGTAGGAAAGAAGAAATACTCCTCATTTCAGGAGACATACATAACTCTGGTACCAATGCTATATATAGTGAAAATGGGAAAAGAAAATAAGAAGGTCATTTCATTCACAAATATAGAATCTAAATTCTGAACAACATATTAGTAAATCAAATCCAGTGATGTATTAATAAGATAATACACAATGACCAAGTTAGGTCCATCCCAGGTATGCAAGGATTGATTAATATTTGTTAAAAAAAATGTATAAATGTTCCTTGATACAATAATAATATTGAAAAGAAAAAATATATAATTACCTCAATAGATGCAGACAAAACATTTGATAAACTTCAACATAAACACATGATTAAAAGCTTCAGTAAACTAATAGACGATAACTTCCATATCTGAATAATCTTACTGAAAGTGAGAGAATGGTGAACACAGAATTCAGAATGGATAAATGGAGACAGGGGCATGAGGTAGGAAAGAACCACAAAGACATATGTAAATCATTGTCAAGGTCCTAATTTTTATCTTGAGTAAGGGTTCCCATGGATTTTTATTCTATTATTAGAACTATAGGACACTGCTGTCCAAGACAAAGTGTAATTTTTGGAGGATGGTATTTCTCCACTAAAAGCATCTTGTCTTCCAGGTAAGGATAATACCTTATGAACTTCTGCCAACTCATATTCCATCCTTGCTGCTCTCTTTAGAAAACCAGCTTTGGTGGTAATGACTTTTGGTTTTGGAGGTCTGATTCGAGGCTGTGTCACAAAATCTGGGAGACATGACTCAAGTTCGACTAATCCTATGGGAAGGGAGTACATGTTTTTAGTATCTGGTGCTTAAATTTAGCATTTTGAAAGTATATTGTTAATTTCAGTAGCTGTTTGCCAAGTACTCTCATTTAGAATTATTGATAAGGAGTATCTCATATAATTAAATTGTCCCCAAAGTGTAAAGCAGATTCCTATATAATTAACTCATATTCTCAGTGACTTAGGACTATAAAATGAGAAATGCATTCGAAAATGAAAACACTGCCTTACAAAAAATAAATTCCACAGTAAGAATCAACAGAAAATTAATGGTCATATGATACATGGCACCACAATTCTAAAGTGAACATACACCAATTTATCATATTCTGCTCTGGAGATGGTCAACCAGAGCTATATGTTCAGCAGTGTGACCACCAACTCATGATTGTGGCCATGTGATGTCTCAGCTTATCAACTGAAAATTAAATAATTTAAATAAGCCTCTCTTAAACTTACAACAGGCAAAGCCCTCTCCATGAATTTGTCCCCTTGTCCACTAGTTTTCTGGCATTTCTTCTTAAAGAAGCGATTTCATTATATATTTCTCGTTTGCTTCATATATCTGGTGTAAAAGCTTTTTCTACTTCATTTTTGCATAACTTTGATTATCAGTGACATTAAACATGTTTAAATGTGTAGTAGCTAATTGACTTTACTCCTTGATAAATTGTTGTAAAGTGTATTTATTTATTTATTTGGGTCTTAGTAGTCTTTATTAGTTTGTATCAATTCATTTAAACACTATTAATGTGTCAACTGCTATTTCTTGCAAATATTTTTATTTGTTGTTTAGCTTATTTAATTATTCTCCTAGAAGAGAATAATTCCCTTTTTTTTCACCACTGTTGAATTATGTAGTATGGTGTATTTTGTTATCAATTGAGAATTCTCAATACATAATCCTAATCACTAACATAAAAGATATAAATTACTATTCATATCAAGGCATAGGAAGACTCTGCCTTTATATACATCTTCCTTCCCAGGATATATATAAGTTACATACTTAATTTATAATTCTTAGATAACCCTCTTATACTGGACATGTAATTATATAAGTTTCTTACCTTCATAGGTGTTGAGATAGTGGTTTTTTACTACAAAGTCCTCTGAGTTGTTATCTGGGAAACGACCAAGGCGAGATAGAGGTCCATAGACCTGTGATGCATAATCAGAATAATCCTTGATGATATTTCTTCTCTCCAACTTCCCTTCTATATTCTTTCTCTTTCCCACAAGTTTTCTAATTGCTAAAATAAAACATACCTCCATGACTATCTCCAAAATATTGTTCTGAATGATCCAAATGCAGAATAGTGAACCAGTTCCAGTTTTATACCCAGGGAAGCAACTAAACTGAATGAATTCCATAATGACCACTCACTGCAGTCAGAATGTAACACAAAAAACAGAGGTCTGTCATCTGTGTGACCCAGAGGGTCATGAGACAGGTGGGAGTCACATAAACTGAATCAGCTAGTGTCTTCAATTTGTACTCATCAAAAATCTTCTATAAAAGCATTCCAAGCTCTGGGCCAGGAATAGATATTCAATAAAAATTTGTTAAATAAATGAAAGAAACTCAAATTAACTGAAAAAATACATGTTCACTGGAGACTAAGGGAATTATTCTCTCCTAGGAGAATAATTAAAAGAGAGGGAAGACCACAGGTTTGTCAATAATCTCTGTCCATTTTCGATAACACAAGAATAAATTAGAATATGCCAAGTATTGAAAAGAAAAAAAATGTCGACAATATCTAAATGCATACCTAGCATACAGTTAAAAGTTATTTTCTCACATCGAGAAAAAGTTAAAAGTCTACTTTGGAAAACAGTATGGAGGTTCATCAAAAAAACTAAGAATAGAATTACCATATGACCCAGCAATCCCTCTTCTAGGTATTTACCCAAAAAACTTGAAAACATTTATCCTCAAAATATATGCACCCCAATGTACATAGCAGCACTATGAACGGTGGCCAAGACATGGAAACTACCAAAGTGCCCTTTGATAGATGATTGGATAAAGAAGATGTGATACATATATACAATGGAATATTACTCAGCCATAAGAAAGATGAAATACTGCCATTTGCGACTACATGGATGAATCTTGAGATAATCATGCTAAGCAAAATAAGTCAGAAAAAGTTGAGAACCATATGATTTTCACTCATATGTGAGATATAAAACTGAAAGAAATAACATGACAAACAGAGATTCATAGACACGGTCAGTGGATTAGTGGTTATCAGACAGAAGTAGGGGTGAGGTAGATAAGGGTAAAAAAAAAGAGAAAAAGTTAAAAGTAATATAAAATAATATTAAATGTCAGCTGTACTTGAACAATTTTAAAAAAGAAAAAGAAATGCGTATTCCTCTTTTAACAATCTTATTATTAGATGTTAATTGATCATCTAAATATGATTATTTAGGAAGCACATCTGTGATGTAAAGCATCATATCAAGCCTGTTTAAAAAGGCTGAAATTGGAAACAATAGGAGAATTTCCAGAATCAAGAGACTATTAACCTAAAGCAAAATTATTAAATAAAATTATGATACAGCCACACAATGTAATAATATACAGGCACCAAAAGTTATAATTTTTTAAGAACTGCTAATGACATGATAAAGTTGCAGGTACAAAAAAAGAAAAAGTTAAGTTCAGTAAAAATAATTTTTAAGGAATTAATTGTATTTTTGTAACTGTTTTACTAAAAAATGACAATTTTGAATGATTTTTAAGCATGATTATATTGCTATTATGTTTATAAATTTCTAATTTACACATGTAATTCAAATATTACAATTTTATAAGTAAATCAATTACATTAAAAGCTACTCAACAAACTATAAAGTTAAGTGACATCGTATAAACCTTTTTAATTTAAATTTTAATTTAAATTTTTTATTTTGTCACTCTTAATATTCAACTGACTCCTTTTAATGTATAAAGTACAGGTATATCTGTAGTACATAAACTGGTACACAGTATATCTGTAAAATTAAAATTTCATTGTAGGAGGGCAAATAGGAAAAAAGATGTCTGAATGTCTCTTTCAGGAGGCAATAATGAAAAAAAAAATTGAGCAACAGGACTCTATACAGGGCCTCAGCCCATGAAAATTAGGAGCCAAAGACCTACACACGCGCACACACACGCGCACACACACGCACACACACACACACACACAAACCCATAATGTCAATAACTTGACTAGCTGTTAGAATGTCATTACTTGATTTTCTTAGTGTGAAATTTTCTACCTCTCCTACTTTTAAAATACAACTCATCTCCTGTCCCTTACCTCTTTAATAACACTAGGACCAAAAATAAATAAATAAATAAATATATTTATATCATAGTTAAATGAGGTTTGATCGAAAATCTAAGGCAAAGCAAATTTTTCCATTCTCTTCATTGTTCATACCACACCATTACCTGATACATAAGCGCGTTGAATCTGTGCCAATCTTGCCTCCTTTGCTTCCTGCAATTTAAACCATTGGGCATTCAAGTGCCTCATGTTCACTTCGTTTTGATTCTCATCACGTTTCTTCAGCAGTTCTTTTAGAACTTCCAGGCGAATCTCCTGTAGTCTTCAAGTAAATTACAAAATAAATTACCATAAGTATATGGTATCTCAAACAGGGTGTTCTAATAGAGAGAAGGGGAACACTTGCCATAAATAAGATCTTCTTTTAAGGTTGGTATCATTTTCATGTACTTTAAAAAGACCACTCTGGTAAAAGTGTGACAAATGGGGGTCTAAGGGTAGCAATTCAATAGTGAGTTTCTGTATAATAGGAATATGTATAGGTGTAGTTCTGATGGATGAAGAAGAGCATGCCAGGTAAATGGGACAAAATAAGGGCTCTCTATGCAGATGGGCCTAAATAAACAAGATGTTTTTGCACAGTCCAGGTTAGCTGGTTGCTGGAGGGCTAAGTAATAGCAGGAGTGAAGAAAAAATGAGGTGTGGCATGCTATCTTAAGTAGTAAATATTTAAATGCCAGTGTCTGGGACATATGGGTACCTAGTCAATCCTTGTTTCTCTTCCCCTTACCTTTACCTTGTTCTCTCAGGGTTACCTTGCTCATGTGTATACAACCATATACAAATTTAAAAATCTTTACTTCCAGCCCAGATATTTTTGAACCAGAACTTTTCGTCCACTTGAATCTCCAGGTATCTCCTGAAAACCTCGAAAACCCCACTCATTTTGTTTCCCCAGAAATTTGCGTGTTCTCTGACATCTTCTTCCCTCCTCTAACAATTCCTCCTCTAAAACCCTTCTTGAATCCGTTCCCTCGCTTATGTTTTTGTCATCTCTCTCCTAATTTGAACTAGAGTTGCTAGTCTAGTCTCTTCTCCTTCCAATCTTTGTTCCACATAGCTGTCAAGATTTTCATTCCTAAAAGAGGTTTGAACATTTTACTCCTACTTCGAAATTCATACACTAATTTATGCAATCATTTATTTGCCAAATATTTATTAAGTGCTCACCATATGCCAGGCTGGTAACAAACAATGATGAACAAGACAAAATGCCTTCTCTCAAAAAGCACTGTTCTAGTGGAATAGGCATATAAACCAACATTAACAACACAAGAAGATAAATACCAGACCAGATGAAAAGACTTCTCTGGGAAAAGAAACAACACAGCACCTACGTCTAGCATTATTCCCAGTTGGTCAGGGAAAAGGAAAGGGATGGTGGGGAAAGCTTCCTTGCAAGCGCCATTAACTCAGCAGTCCTGAGGATAAACAAGGATTGAGAATGACGAGGGAGAAGTGAGGCCTCAGCAGAGGGAGCGGAATGTTCAACTCAAAAGAACTGGAGACAAGCTAACACGTCATACTAGTGGAACTTCTCAAAGTGAATATACATGGAGTGAATATTTAAAGGCGGTGTTTTCAAAAATAAGCCATACACCAACAATCACCTTTCTCTCTAGAGTTAGAAATCTTGAGTTCAGTTCTCTGCTTCATCACTTATCTCAATTTCATCAGCCATAAAATGGACATAATGGTATCCATCCCACCAGGCTGTTTGAGCATTAAATGAGTTAACGTACACAACGTGTTAGAACATCGGATAATCTGAAGGGCTTGGTATGACACAGATTGCTGCACCCAACCCCTGATTCAGCAAGTGTGGGACAGGGCCAAAGAATTTACATTTCTAACAAGTTCCCAGATAATGCTGATGCTGGTGGTCTTTGGACCACACTTTGAGAATTACTGAATTGGAACTTGGTTCCAGCACATAGTATGTACTCTATAAATGTTACATGTCGTATGAAATCATCATCATTGTCATTGCTGATACTATCATCTACTCTATTGTTTCTTACCCTTTAACATCAAACTCAGAGGCTACCTACTCTCAGTAGTTTTCCCAAATCTCCGCCCACCTCAAACAGAACTGATTATTCTCTCCTGGATTCCCCTAGCACTTTGTGTACAGACAGCGCATCGCCTGATAGGCTCTGCTTAAGAATTGTTGGTCTGAAGGTCTTTTGCCCCATCCCTGCCCAACATCCCCTTCCCCACCCCAGTACACCATAAGGAGCTGTGTCAGGGCACAGAAGTTTTCTATTATCTGTTTCTCCAGTTCACAGCACAGAGCCTGGCACACGGCCAGGACTCAAAAACATGTTTATTAAAATCATCCTCAGTGTCACAAAAATACTCACTTTCTAAGGCAATGTCTTCATTCTGGCTAGATACAGTTTTAATATTTTTGATATCATTCTAATAAGAATATACATCTTCAAATTGCAGCAATGGATTTAAATTTCTGCAGACAGGATTGGATATTTGATACCTACTTTACTCCAAACACTATTTTCTATTAAATTGCAAGCTTTTTATCAAAACACCACACAGTCTTGATTCAGGATTAATCAGAAGGTGTTACAAAAAAATAAATAAATATATTTGGAATTGAGAACCAAACCAAGTTCCTGACTCTCTCGGTCCCTATCTTTCTTGTATGTTAGCACACTGCCAGGGGCTTTGGCAACATTGCTACAAACAATAACGTGCCTCAGCATAGCCTGGAATAAAGGACAACCTTGATAGGTCTTTTTCATTCTTGCTAGGGAGTTGTCATTTTTCAGTTCTCATCATTGCTACATATTCTAGGGATGATCTCATTACTAAAAATACATCAGTTAAAATGATTGAAAACTCAGCTAGAAGTACCTAAGCATATGGTTATTTATGTGCTGTGAGCTCATCTCTTAATTAAAAAATTCTACAATTTGTCTTTTAAATAGAAAGTGCCCCATTAGCTGTAGTTAGAACCAAGGTGTCCTGACTGTGAATCCAGTACCGGGAGGAATAACAGACAAGATCAGTGAGGAGGCTGTTTAATAGATATGAAGAGACTTAGGGACAGTGGCACTGGGAATGAACAGAAAGGGACAGTTTGAAAGACGTTTGCAAAAAATCAGTGGAATTCTGTGATACTCTAGAGCATATACTAAAGAGAAAAGAGAAGAGAAGAATCAGAAGTGCCTTGAAGAATTGCTCGGTCTGGGTTTCGTGCTGGACTTCACACAGAAGAGGCCATTGTACATTTTTATATTAATGAACAGAAAATTATAGTTATTTTTCCTGAAAGAACCAGAAACTCAATTTCCTACCTCTACATGTTGAGGAATACTTTTATACCTATACATTTGGAAAAATGCTTTACAGATAAAAAAGTATTAACATTACTTCCATCACGGAAGAGCAGATATCTGAGTGATCAAGAACCTACTTTTCAATCTCTTGCTCTCTGAAGGCCCACTCCTTCCTCTCCATCGCATCCATCATCTTCCTCCTGTTCTCAAACTGGGAAGTGTCACTCAGAGAGGGAAGAGTGGCTTCCCAAGCACGCTTCTCCCGGGCACGTTCTATCATTTCTACCTCCGCTTGTCCTGCCGGGAGACCTCGACCTGGAGGATGAAGCAAAATACTTTAGAAACACATAGACAAACTCATGTACCTACCAGTATTTTATTTCCTCCCTTTCAGTTCCTGTCCCCTTTAAATTAAAGGTTATGACAGGATGAAATGATATTAGGAAACAACCTACAGATGTTCCTTATAGCTGTGCCCTACACTGCTTCTTGTTAGTAATTCAGCCAGAAGACATTTTAGTTGTATGTAAGATGCTAGAAAGTGTTTGAATATTATGAGACTACTGAATAATCCCACCTTGAAATGTTCTGTATTGGACAAATCTATATTTTGAAATACAAAGAAATACCAAAGTAACTTGCAGAAGGTCACAATTTATGTTTCTCCATAAATGCCTTGTACATGTTTTCAAAAGTGATTTCCTAGGTATTCTGCTATTTGTTGCTATTAAAAACGATTTTTTTAATTGTATTTCAAATTAGATATTGCTCATGTATAGGAAAGCTACTGATCTTTGTATGCTGATTTCATAATTAAACTCAAGTTCTTAGTTCTGATAATTTATTTCATTTGATTTCCTAAATGAGCACTTTGTCTGCAGTTATAGTACTGCTTCTTCTTTCTAATCCTCATACCGCATTTTTTTTTTTTTATCTTACCGCACTCACTCAGTATTTCTCAACCAGGATGCTATTATTGCCATACTGGACGGACACTTATTTGTTGTGTGGGCTGCCCCATGCAGAACAGGATGTTTAGTATCCATGCCAGGCCACCCCCTAAACCCATGTGTTAATGCCAGGAGTGCTTCCTAATCATTATCACATACAAAAATGCCACCAATGTTTCCAAATGTCCCTGGGGAAGAAGGGTCATAGCTTAGCTTAATAACCCCTGGGCTCAGATCTTCTCTGCATTACTAAATAACAGTGGTGATAAAGGGATCATTGTCTTTTTCTTTACTTTAAAAAATTCTAAAGTTTCACCTTCAGTATTATGTTTATTGAAGACTGTGGTAGATATCTTTTATTAAGTTACTAAAATTTCCTTCTGATCCCAGTTTATTTAGAGTTTATATCTTGAATGAATGTTGAATTTTTTTTTTTTTGCATCTATCAAAGCATTTTTTCTATATTTTCTGTTAAAATGGTAAGTTACATTGGTTGGTTTTCTGGTATTGTATTATAAACTGGAATTTATGTGATTAACCCACATGCTTACGATAAGTTATCCTTTTTAAATACTTCAAGATTTGATTGTTGGTATTTTACTTAGAATTTTTGCATTTTCTTCATATGTGAGATGGCTCTGTAATTTTCCTTTCAATTATCATCCTTATTCAATTTTCAAATCAAAGCTATACTAGCTTCATAAAATAAATAAATTAACTTTTATTCTCTCTTTCTTTTTGCTGGAAGAATTTGCATAAAACCAAGCTTATTTATTCCTTAAAGGAGTGGTAAACTTACCTGTAAACTGCTTAGGTCTGGTGCTTTTAAAAGGATTTTTTTTTTTTTTTTAACAAGTCACTTTGTAGAGTTATTCTTCTATTCATGTTTGCTAATTCTTCTTGAAACCAACTTGGTAATTTATATTTTCTTTTAAAATTGTATAATTTATCTGTTTTAAAATATAGGGCAAAAGATATGCTTAGTATCTGCTTATAGTTCTCAAATAATATATTCTGTACTTAAGTCCCTCTTCCAATCCTAATACTCTTTATTTGCATATTCTGTCTTTTGTCTCAATGTTTCCTATAGAAGATTTGGTTATATTATTAATCTTTATCAAAGAAATTATTTTTGGCCCTAATAATTGTTTTTTCTTTTGCCTTTTTAAGGATCTATAGCATTAATTTCTGATTTAAATGTTATTATTCACTTAGCTTGTGAAGATAAGTTAAAAATAAAAAAGCTCTTGGAACAGTTCTTGGCACAGAGTAAGTTCTTAATGCTTTTTTTCTTAGTGCTGACAGTGTCAACCTTTTTCACTGTCATTATTTTTCACTTATTTATGTACAATTTTTATTAAAGTATAGCATACATGCAGAAAGGTACATAGATGAACATCCCATAGAAGCAGCACTCAGGTCAAGGAAACAATATTACTAGAACCACAGAATGCTCATCATAATCCCTCCCAGTCTCTTTCTGCCTCAAGGATAACCACCATCCTGATTCCTAACATATTTAGTTTTGATAGTTTCTGAGCTTTAAACAAGTGGAATCAAAGTATAGGTATTCTTTTGTGTTTTACTTCTTTTGCTTAGCATCATATATGTGATATTCACCCATGTGGTTACATGTAGTTGTACTTTCATTATCATTGCTATATAATATTCCATTGTGTAAATATACTACATTTTAGTCATCCACTCTGTGGTTGATGGACATTTGGGTTAGTTTTAGTTTGAAATTACAATGAATAGTGTTGCTATGAACATTTTTGCACTTGTCTTTTGGTGAATATACTGAAGCATTTTTTAGTAGAACCAAGTACTCACTTCTCTTCAGTATATAGCTAGGAATGAAATTCCTAGATCATAGGTATGAGTGAGTTCAGCTTTAGAAGATACTATCAACCAGGTTTCAAAAAATAGCTGTAACATATACATGCAGTTTATGAAATTTTCTTTGTTTCAAATCCTTATCACCACTTGGTAACATCAATCTTTTTAATACTAGCTTTCGTGGTATGTGCATAGTAGTATCACATCAAGGTTTTCATTAGCAGTAACTAATCAAGTTGAACACTGTTTCATGTTAATTGGCCATTTGAAAATTCTTTTTAAGTGCCTGCTCCAATCATTTGCTAATTTTTCTATTGGGTTGTCTTTTCCTTATTGATTCTTAGGATTTCTTTACGTGTTCTAGTTGTGTCTACCATTTCATATAGGTATTGCAAATATCTTCTCCCAATCTGTGGCTTGCCTCTTCACTATCTTAATATGTTTTTTGGGAAATAGAGGTTCTTAATTTTAATGTGATCTAATTTCTCATTTTTCTCTTTATAGTTAGCATTTTTTGGTCCTATTTAATAAAATCTTTGCCTACCCAAGTTCGCAAAAATATTTTCTTATGATTCCCTCTACAAGTTTTATCATTTCGCCTTTCACATTTAACATCTAGGATTGATTTTGGTTTGTGGTGTGAAGTAGGAATCAAGAGTCACTTTTTTCAAGATTATTATCTAATTGACTCAGCACTATGTATTGAAAGGATCGTTTTTTTTCAACCACACTGCCGTGCCATCTTTGTCTTGTCAGATAATATTTATGTGAGTTAGTTTCTGGACTTTATTGTGTAACAATAATCTATTTGTCTATCTTTAAGAATATACCACATTCTTCAATTAGCGCAGCTTTACTGTAAATCTTTATATCTGATAGTGTATATGGTTCTGTTTTTTCATATTTGCCTTGGCTACTTTTAACACTTTCACATTTCCATATTAATTTTAGATCAGGTTATCAATTCACATACACACACAATCACACGCATGCACACATGCACACACCTGTTGGGGTTTTTTAAATGGAACTACATTGAGGTAGGAATCAGATCAAAGTTCATTTTTTGCACATGGATATCTAATTTTTTCATCGCCATTTATTGAAAAGACCTCCTTCCCCTCATTGGATTATAGTGGCATCTTTCTGATCAATCAAATGAATATAAATGTAAGGAAATTCAATGTAAGGAATAAGGAATATACCAAGTCAAAGATGCCCAGAACCATTATTATTTCCTTGTAATGCTAAAGCCAAGTATTTCCACATTTAATTTCCTAATGCATAGTGAGATCTACAGCAGGTGTGGCCATGACCTACCACATACAAACTCTTTTATATGAAGCTCTTTAATCATCGTCAGATCACCTCTGCTTTTGATAGCTTAATCTAAAAGAGGGGCATTAAAATCCACATGAGTAGGGATTTGTCCATTTCTCCTTGTGATTCAATCAATTTTTGCTTTGAGTCTATGTAGGGTACACACAAGTTCATCACAGATATTTCTAGTGGATTACTCCTTTTTTTATATTACTATTCCTTCATTTCTTCCTTTTACCATTTTCTGATTAACTTTGGTCTAATATTAACATTGTTATATCAGCTTTCTTTGGGTGAACTAACTATACTTTTCAACCCATTTATTTTCAATTTTGGTGCTATTTTACAATTAGCAAGCTGTTTTGCTAGGTTTTTATTAATCCAACCCAAGCATGTTTTTTAATAGGCAAGTTTAAGTCACTTTTACATATTTACATTACTAAAATATTTGACTCTTCTGACATCTTACTATGTATTTTCTATTTCATGTTTTTTTCTTTGCTCCCCACTCTTTTCTGCTCTCTGTTATTTCATTTTTTCCTATCAATTGTGAAATAATATATTTCTCTTTTTTCAGAGGTTGCCCATAAATTTTTTAACTTAGAAATTTCCACTCATAATTTTCTAATAAAGTCAAAAGCTAATTACTGTTCTTTCCAATGATTTCAATTAGTTTTTTATAGCTCCCATTCTTGTTTTCATTGTTGCTATTTCCCCCATTATCTCTTTGAGGATATAAAAGTACTTCTTAAGTCCTTTTCAGATTGCTCCATTTGCTTTGTTTGCTCAAGAGTTTATTCTTCCATTTTTTAAAAATTTTTTGCGAATTGCTCCTGGTGTCTGTGTTCCTTAGATGCTTTGTGATTCTTGGGTTGAGAGCATCTGCATACTTCTCTCATGATCACCCTGGGCAGTAGCATCTTTGATCTCACAGGAGGAACAACTCCCCATCCTCATTCTTTAGAGCCCTGCCCTTCATCACAATGTGAGGAGCCCTAGGGACTATGCACACCTAGATTTACTCCTACCCTCAGAGACCCTGGAATTCCTTCCGCAAATGTCCTCAAGCCCACTTTCCAAATCTACATGGGCTTCTTCTCAGGATTCAGACTCTAGAGGGCATACTATATGCTGCTGTTTGTTCACCCATAAGCCCAAGGGGTGGCCAAGTGGCAGCTGTTTGCAGGGATTTGTAAACAGAGATTGGAAACGCAGGGTGGGATAATCACATGCATGCATGGTAGGCCCCTCATGATATGGAACAGATGTTAGCTTTCTTTATAATTTCTAAACATCTATTCATATAGTAAGTGGGCCTCCATTTGAACTCCTACCCATGACCTCACAAATGAAAGAGTAGGCCTGACTCACAGAGGCTTTTCATAACCTAAGCACTGCCAGGGGCAGGGCTCCAGATTAGACTTTTTGCCCAATGAAGCATTTCCAAGCCCTTGCCTAGGTCTCTTGCTTTAGAGGACCTGGCTCTTGTCTTACTGCAACTCAGCGTAAGCCCATAGCACACCAAGAGATAAAGCCCAAGGACCCAGGCAGGAGTGCCTGACTCAGGTCTGGCTATAATCTTAGATGGGCAGGTTTGGGCTTTGGTCCCACCTGTGGGCAGGAGAAAGGTTTCTGCCTCCTCTACTTCAGGCAGATAACTTGGATTTGGCTCCCCACCATTCACAGTGCCTCATCAGCTCAGCTTCCCAGCTATTTCTTTTAGAAAGACGTCTTTACTTCTAGACTGTGGAAATTTTCTTCCTTATTTTTAAGTTCAGCTATGTGTTTATTCATTTTTACAGTATATTTTTTATGTGTTCAGTGCAGAAGGGAAAGCTTTCAGCATATTTTTAATCTGTCATCTAGGTCTGATAATAGAGCCTCTACTTTAAAGCACAGGTGTCAAGAACGCTTACTCTGGATTCATAAAGCGAGCCAGGAAACATGAATCAAAACTGGAGCTCAGATGCAAATATCTTCATTGCCTGCGATGCAGACTTGATCAAAGCAATCCATTACAATGGGGAAAGAAAGGAATCTCATTTTCATAAAAATCGTTATGCTGTACCGTCTCCGTGACTCTGGCGGAGTCAGCCTCTCTGGTTCTCAGTTTCCTAGCTACAATCAGGTAAGTCTGAAAGCTAATGTCCAATAATTTCTAAAAGTCCCTTCATTATTAATTTTTATAGTTTCACATAATATAGGCTTAGGCCAGATTTTATTACACAATAAGAGTGAACTTCTGAGCCTGAGAGATATTAGCATTTTGGAGATAATATCAAAAAGATATCATCCAAATCATCCAATAAGGTATGTAAGAGAGCTTTTATAAATTCTAAATTATTTTGGCAAAGTAAGATAATACTATATATATATGTTGAAATGCATATTCAGTAATACACTGAAAAGGGGCTTATGAGTAAAGAAGGGGTGAAAAAGAGTTCATTCACTGAGAGAAAGAGGAAGGAGGTGAGTAGTCAGCAAAGCAACCACGAAAATAAACCGACTAACTTATTTCACTTAGCATAATACTCTCAAAAGCCATCTGTGTTGTTACAAATAGAAATATTTCTATATATATAATATCTTCTTTATCCAATCATCCATCAATGAACACTTTGTTTCCGTGTCTTAACTACTATAAATAATCTTTCAATGAACACAGGAGTACATAAGTACATATATCTTTATGAATAAGTGTTTTAATATTTTGGGGGTAAAACCCAGAAGAGGAATTGCTGGATCATATGGTATTTCTATTCTTAATTTTTTGAGGAACTTCCAAACTATTTTCCATAGTGGCTGCATTAATTTATATTCCCACCAATAGTGTACATCGGTTCTTTTTTCATGTGTGGAATATAAAACAAAAAGTAACAAACAAACAAAACAAACTCATAGATATAGTCAACAGAATGGTGGTTACCAGAGGGGAAAAGGGGTGGGGGGAGGGCAAAGTGGGTAAAAGGGGTCGAATATATGATAATGGCAGGAAACTAGACTTCCATAATTAGACACACGTTGTTGAATTATAATCTTGTATATCTGAAAATTATATAATGTTATTAACCAAAGTCACTTCAATTAATTTAATTAAAAATTAAAGAGTATTGATTGGGAAAAAATTAAGCCAAAATATAACTTCAGCTTCAGGGATAAAGTACAATAATCCTCCTTACAGTGAAAAGAGTATATCTCTCTGAACAAAAGTATCAGAAAAAGTATAAGTCTATGAAGTAGCTTTACTGAACGAGATGCTTTAAATAGCAAAATTTTAAACCGTGGTTGTCTCTATGTGCTCTTAATTTCTAGGAACTCAATAGCCGGCATGGTTATCAGGACTGTCATCTACAAATATTTATTCAAGAAAGTTACCAACTCACCCCAAGTCAGAGTAGCCAAGGTCAAAAGCTCAGGAATTGAATCTTGATATACTACATATTCAGGAGAATATGGATCTGTTTGAACATCGGCATCACGATAATCAGTCTGAGTGCCCACAGTGTACTTTGAAAGGATAGGTGGGTACTTAGTGGAAGCAAGAGGAAAAGCAAATGGCTCCATTCTAAAAGGGAAAATTATTTTTAAAATTAAAACCTGATACCATCATTTAAAATACTATATAATCGAGTAGAAATAAATTCTTGAGCTTCAATAAGAACTTCCCCCTCTAAATATTGACAGGCACAAATTTATAAATCTAGTGTAACCAGGATTATGTTCTTGAGAGAATTGCCTTGTTATTCTCACCTCTGCATAAAAACCTAGATGTACTCACAAAAATGCCGACTGATCTGTGCATCATTGGGTAGGGCTGTAGAACAGAGCTATAAAAGGTAGATTCTAGGATGTCATACAGTTACTTCTGAACCTATTTGGAATTGCTACTCCCCCAGTTTCCTTCTTTTCTGCTTTTATTTACTCACTGAATTTTAGCTGTTTCAGAAACACAAATACTGGAGCAGAGAAAAGAAAATAAAACCTCATCTCTTGCACAAAAATTAATTCCAGATAATTTAAATTATTTAATGTAAAAATGAAACTATAAAAGCATCAGTACGGGACATAAGTAAATTTATCATCTTTGAGTGAAAGTCCTTTAAAGCATGGCTCAAAAGCTAGAAACTGTAAAAGGAAATGACCGATAGAATTAAGTTTAAGTTGAAACTTCTATACCTTGAAATATTAGAAACAAATTTAAAATGTGAATAGTAAACTTGGAAATAGGTTTTGCAACATATATGATAAAAATTAAAGTTTTCTATATAAAAAGCCCTTGTAAATCAATAAAACAGTTAAATACCCACAGAAAAATGGGTAAAGAACAACTCACAAAACAAAAAGTAAAACTTCTAACAAACATGAAATGATAATAAGAACACAACTAGTTATCAAAGAAAAGCAAATCAAAATAGCAGGATGCTATTCTATTATATCATAGAAGCAAAGATTTAAAAGATTGAAAGTATGTAGCATTGATGAATTTATAAAGAAACAAGCATCCTCATAAACTGTTAATGGAAATACAAATAGGTACAACCCAACTAACAAGAAACTGATCGATATATATCAAAACCTTAAAATATTCCTTGGCTTAGGCAAACTCGTAGGAATCTATTCCAGGAAATAACTGAACAAGTGTACAAAGGATATATGCAAACATGTTCATTAAGTCTCATTTATAAGAGTAAAATATTACAAACTTAATAATCGCCATCAATAGAAGAATTGTTTACAATAATATGACATACTGATAATAGAATTTATGCAGCTGTTAAAAGTAACAGTGCAATCTATATTTATGAACACACATAAATGTCCATGATTCTATGTAAGGTAAGAAAAAAGGAAAACTATAAAGCGGTATGTATAGCAGAAGTACATTTTTATGCCTTTAAAAACTGTGCTTTTGTGTATAGAAAAATGCCTAGATGGTATACAATAAAATAATAACAGCGAGTATTTCTGGATAGTAAGATTACAGAGAGAATTTTTTCATGTTTATAGTTTTCTGAATTTTCTAACTTTTTTAACCTGGACATGTACTACTTTTAAAATAAGGAAGAAAAAATATATATATAGCTACTTCCATTTAAAAGAAAACATTTTTTTCTAGTTGGTAGAAGAATTGTTTAAATTACATAAATAACAAACAACTGAATATAATGGCAAAAAAAAAGAGAGATTTCCATTTTCAAAAATAGTCAAAGGCAATAGGAGGTGCTTATATGTGAGCACAGCATAGATAATTTAGCTCTAAGAAAAATGCACCTCAAGCCAGTTAGAACCTGTTTGGAGGTTTAACCTGTGATGGAAACCACTTTAAGTTATTTTTAATGCTGAACTCTAATGGGTGTTGAAAAAATTTTTCAACAGTTGCTATGAATTTCCAACATGTAGACAAACATAGTATTTAGAGTTTCTTATGATTTTGGCAGAAATTATTCTACTATAAAAGTTCTACTTGAGGAAAGCACTTCAAATCAGCCTTATATCATTCCAGCTCATATCAATATTATTATAACATTATTAGCTTGAATCAAGAAAATAAATTCTTGTTTTTTCAAATTAAATAATTACTCATTTGAACCATCAGATCAAATGTGCTAAGATTGTGATAACGTCTAATGAATCCTTCTGAGTAAGCTTTCTAATGACAGGATACTTCCAGGTGGGTTGGAAGAGAAGCTGCAAAGGAGGAATGCTAATGTCATGGAATTCCTATGGTATAAAGTAATACAGTTTCTTTCCTAACTAATTTATTATTTTTCTCTAACCTATTCTTTTTTCCTCCATTTCAGTTGATTTAAGGGAGAGTAAGCTGTGAATAAGAAAGAACAATGAATTGATCTTTTTCCTACCTTTCCCTGATCAAAACTCCAAACCAGAAAGACCTCACATCTGTTGCCTCTTTAGCTTGAGCCCTCCTTTGTCCTGGATTCCATCCTCAGGCTCACTCACTCTGGCTTCATTATCCTTACAGTGGCCACTGCTGCTCTACAGACCCTTAATCCAAGCCCTTCCTCCTCCATTACTGCCCAGGCACCGGCAGCATGCACCGCCAACCACAATCACAAGTCTTCTAAATTTTCCCTCCTGAACTACACACAAATAGAGGCTACAAAAGGTAGTAAATTCTGTTCTGTTAGCATACACTCCATCAAATGTTCATAATTTTTAAAGACATTAAGAGCGGATTTAGGTTCACAGCAAAATAGAAAGGAAGATACAGAGATTTCCCATATACAGTACCCCCTGCCCCCACACATGCATAGCTTCTCCATTATCAACATCACTCACCAGAGTGGTACATTTGTTACAAGTGATGAACCTACATTGACACCATAATCACCCCAAGTCCATAGTTTACATTAGGATTCACACTTGGTTTTGTACATTCTATGGGTTTGGACAAATCTTTACATATATATGTATACATGTATAATAACATGTATCTACCATTATAGTATCATATAGAGTATTTTCCCTACCCTAAAAATCCTGTGCTCCTCCTATTCATCCCTCTCCAACCCCTAGTAACCAATAATTATTTTTTATTAATCTCCACTGATTTGCCTTTTTCAGAATATCATATAGTTGGAATCATACGGTGTATATAGCCTTTTCAGACTGTCTTCTTCTCTTAATAATATGTATTTAAGATTCCTCTATGTCTTTTCATGTCTTGACAGCTCATTTCCATTTAGTGCTGAATGATATTCCACTGTCTGGATATATCACAGTTTATCCATTCACCTGCTGAAGGATGTCTTGGTTGCTTCCAAGTTTGAGCATTTATGAGTAAAGCTGCTATAAGCATCTGTGTGTAGGTTTTTGTTTTTGTTTTTGTTTTGTGGACTTAAGTTTTCAATACCAAGGAATACAGTTGCTGGATCATATGTTAAACGTTATGTTTTGTAAGAAACCACCAGACTGTCTCCAAAGTGGCTGTAGCATTTTGTATTCCCACCAGCAATGAATGAGAATTCCTGTTGCTCCACATTTGGTGTTGTCAGATTTTGGCCATTCTAATAAGTGTGTAGGTGGTAGCTCTCTGTTTGAATTTGCATTTCCCTGATGACATATAATTCTGAGCATCTTTTCAAATGCTTATTTGCCATCTCTTAATCTTCTTCGGTGAGGTGTCTGTTGAGGTCTTTGGCCCTTTTTAAAATTATTCTCTTATTGTTGAGTTTTAAGAGTTCTTTGCATATTTTGGATAACAGTTCTTTATCAGATGTGTCTTTTGCAAATACTTTCTCTCATTCTGTGACTTGTCTTCTTATTGTAATGACATTGTCTTTTGTAGAGCAGAAGTTTTTAATTTTAATAAAGTCCAGATTATCCATCATTTCTTTAATGAGTTGTGCCTTTGGTGTCATATCTAAAAAGTCATCACCACACCCAGAGTCATCTAGTTTTTTTCCTGTTATCCTCTAAGGGTTTTATAGTTTTGCATTTTACACGGAGGTCTGTAACCTATTTTGAGTTAATTTTTCTGAAGGGTGTTAGGTGTGTGTCTAGATTCATTTTTTTGCCTGCCTATGTCCAGTCGTTCCAGCAACATTTGTTGAAAAGACTAACTTTGCTCTATTGTTCCTTTTGTCCAAGATTAGTTTATTATGTTTATATGGGTCTATTTCTAGACTTTTTATTCCATTTCCTTGATCTATTTGTCTATATTTTCCTCTAATACCACACTGTCTTGATTACTATAGTTTTATAGTAGGTCTTGAAGTCAGAAAGTGTCAGTCTTCCAACTTTGTTTTTCTCCTTGAATATTGTATTGACTATTCTGGGTCTTTTACCTCTTCCTATAAGCTCTAGGGTCAGTTTGTCAAAATCTACAAAATAACTTACAGATATTTGACTGAGATTACATTGAATCTATAAATCAAGTTGGAAAGAATTGACCTCTTGACAATATTGAGTCTTCCTACCCAAGGATGTAGAATATCTGTTTATTTAGTCCTTTGATTTCTTTCATCAAAGTTTGGTAGTTTTCCTCACATAGGTCTTGTGTATATTTTATTAGATTTATACCTGTTTCTCATTTTTTGTTGCTAATATAAATAGTATCATGTTTTCAATTTAAAATTCTACTTGTTCAGCAATTGACTTTTGTATATTAACTTTGTATCTTAGAACCTTGCTATAATCATTTATTTCCAGCAGGGTATTTTTGATTTGCTACACAAATGAACATTCATCTGCCAACAAAGACAATTTTTCTTCCTTCCTAGTCTGTATACCTTTTATTTCCTTTTCTTGTCTTATTGCATTAGCTAGGACTTCTAGTACAATACTGAAAAGAAATGGTGAGAGGAGACATCCTTGCCTTATTCCTGATCTTAATGGGAAAGCTCTGAGTTTCTGACCATTAAGTGTGATGTAGGTTTTTTGTACATTATTAAGTTGAAGAAGTTCCCCTCTATTCCTAGTTTACTAAGTTTTTATCATGAATGGGTATTGAATATTGTCAAATACTTTTTCTGTGATTTTTCTTTTTTTGCCTGTTGATGGGATGGATTACGTTAACTGATTTTTAAATGCTAAACCAGCTTTGAACACATGGGATACCTACCACTTGGTTGCGGTTTATAACTTTTTAAATATGTTGTTAGATTCTATTTGCTAATATTTTGTTGAAGATTTTCATGCCTATGATCATGAGAAATATTGGTCTGTAGTTTTCTTTTTCTTTTTTTTTTTTTTTTTAAATATCGTTGTCTGGTTTTTGTTTTAGGGTAATGCTGGCCTCTTTTTCTTTTTCTTAGTTAGCCTGGCTAGAGACTTTTCAGTTTTAGTAATCTTTTCAAAGAACCAGCTTTTAGTTTAATTGATTTTCTCTACTGATTTCCTTGATCAATTCCATGGATTTATACTATAATTCTTATTATTTCTTTTCTTCTGCTCACTTTGGATTTAATTTGCTCTTTTTTTTCTAGTTTCCCAAGGTGAAAGCTTAGACGTTTAATTTTAGATCTTTCTGCTTTTCTACTGTCTGCATTCAATGCTATAAATTTCCCTCTAAGCATTCTTTTCACTGCATTCCATAAATTTTGATTAGTTGTATTGTCATTTTCATTTAGTTCAAAATATTTTTTCATTTCTCGAGACTTCTTCTTGGACCCATGTGTTATTTAGAAATGTACTGTTTAATCTCCATGTGTTTGGGGATTTTCAGTTGTCTTCCTGTTATTAATTTCTAGTCTAATTCCATTGTGGTATGAAAGCAGACATTGTATGATTTCTATTCTTTTACATTTGTTAAAATATGTTTTTGACCCAGAATGTGGTCTATCTTGCTGTTTTTGGATGAAGTAGCCTGTAAATATCAATTATACCCCATTGATTGATGGTGCTGTTGAGTTCAACTAGGACTTTACTTTCTGCCTGCTGGATGTGTCCATTTCTGATAGAAGGGTGTTGAAGTCTCCAATTATAATAGAGGGTTCACCTATTTCTCTTTATCCCTGATAATTTTCCTTGCTTTGAAGTCCGCTCTGTATGAAATTATTATAGCTACTGATGCTTTCTTCTAATCAGTGTTAGCATGGTATATTTTTCCCCATCCATTTACTTTTAATCTATTTGTGTCTTTATATTTAAAGTGGGTTTCTTGTTGAGAGCACACCGTTCTTGTTTTTTCATGCACTCTGACATATATAATACATAAGATACATAGATAAGCATAACAATCAAGTATACTGTTGCTATTATTATTTTGAACAAACTGTCATCTGTTAGATCAATTACTTCGTCTTCGATACTCTACTGTATGTAGATCTGAGTTTCTGATCTATATTATTTTCCTTCTCTATAAAAAATTTCTTTTAACATTTCTTGCAAAGTAGGTCTAATATAAACAAATTCTCTCAGGTTTTATTTGTTTGAGAAAGTCTTTATTTTTCCCTTCACTTTTAAGGATATTTTACAGGATACATAATTCTAAGTTGATGGGTCTTTTTTTCCTCAACACTTTAAATTTTTACTTCTCTTCTTGCTTGCATGGTTTCTGAAAAGTCAGATGTAATTCTTATCTTTGTTCCTTTATAGATAAGATATTTTTGTCCCCTGGTGTCTGTCAACTTTTTCTTTATCTTTGATTTTCTTTAGTTTGAATATCTTATGCTTTTTGGTTGGGTTTTGTTTTTGTTTTGTTTTTGCATTTATCTTGCTTAGTGTTCTCTGAGCTTCCTGGCTCTGTAGCTTGGTGTCTGACATTAATTAGGAGAAATTCTCAGTAATTATTGTTTCAAATATTTTCTCTGCTACTTTCTCTTCCTTTTCCTAGTATTCCCATTATATGTATGTTATACCTTTGTAGTTGTTCACAATTATTGGATATTTTGTTATTTTCTGTCTCTGTTATCTTTATTCTTTTTGGTTTTCAGTTTTAGAGGTTTCTATGAATATACCCCTAGCTTGGAGATTCTTTCCTCAGCCATGCACAGTCTATTAATGAGTCCATCAAAGGCATTCTTCATTTCTGTTACAGTGTTTTTAATCTCTAGCATTTTTTTTAGTTCTTTCTTATTTCCAGCTCTCTGTTTACATTGACTATCTGATCTTGCATGCTATATACTTTATCCATTAGAGCCCTTAGCATGTTAACCATAGCTAGGTCTGGTTCTTATGTTCATGCTCCCTTTTCAAATTATGTTTTTTGCTTTTCAGTATGCCTTGTAATTACTTGACAGCTAGACATGATGTACTGGGCAAGAAGAACTACTGTAAATAGGCCTTTAGTAATATGGTGGTTAAAGTGTAGAGGGGGAAGCATTATATTATTCTATAATTAGGTGTCAGTCTTTTATTGAGTCTGTGCCTCTGGACTGTGAACTTCATGTTTATCATTTTTTTTCATCCCCTGTTAGATGGAGGCAGGATGGCTAGAGGGAACTGGAGTTGGATAGTTCCCTCCCCCAGGTCATTTAGGCTCTGATACTACCCCAGGAAATTAAGCTCTGGTTAACTAGTTTCTACTGAGGTCTGAAAAACAGAGTGCTCTGACATATTTCAAAATGGTTTCTTTTCCTCTCCCCCTGCCAGAAACATGAGGGGATTTTTCTCCAATATTTATTATAATCTGATTGAGCTCCTGGAAGTTAAGTCTCACAAAATTGTGGAAGCTCCCCATGACAAGGTCCTTCTGGAGTTTTTAATTCTCAAAGTTTTCCACACTGAGCTTCCAGCAATTTGGCAATTATGGTTCAGGTTGTACCACCTGGGACTAGTTCCTATGGCAGTTTCCATTCATGAATCCCTGTTCTTGGAAGCCATTACTCCCTGTATTTGCCTGTCTTTCTAATCTTGGGACAGCAGTTTGCCCTGCATCTTCCCCTCTCTTACAGAACCAAGAAAAATAGTTGATTTTTCAGTCTGTTCAGCTTTTTACTTGTTGTTAGGACAGAGTGGCAATTTCCAAGTTCTTTGCATGTGGAACTGGAAACCACCATTGAACATTTTAAAATATTAGCTTTTTATCTTCTTCTCCAAGATGCTGACATAGAATTCAAAGTAACAACGCCAACAGCTAGCCATGAAAAGGGTGTGGCTGGAGAAAGCCAGCTGGTTCCCAGACAAGTGCATCCCTGCTAACATAAGGCGGAATTACCCTCACTGCTCCAAAACTCAACCCTGCCAAAATTTCAGAGCTGACTTCACTAGGAGATACTGATTCGTTCTTTAAACACTTCTAAGAAAGACAGAGACCATCTAGAGTGTCAACTGTCATGGTTTAACTCTCAGAGGGACTCTTTATCCCTTATGCCAGTTATTTACGAAGGAATGGGAGGCCCAGTGTTTACCTCTGTAGATCTCAGAACTCCCCACAATTAACTGAACAACTTTTAAACCTGATGTAAAAATGACCTCCAAACCCGGTGATCCAGTAAGCCTGTTTTTAAAGAATGACCAAAGGTATCTATCGGGATCCACCTGTCTCATAGCTCCCCCTTTGCTCAAAGAAAACATTCATGGAAAATAAGTCTGCAGCTATCCTGGGTAAACAGACAGCAGTTTCTACCTAGGAAAAGAAATCTGTTTCTTCTACTCTCCATCTACGTAAGAGCTTAGAGTGTCCATACACAGTCTTTAAAGGAATCTATTCTCC